ATCGCCAGCAGAGAGATGTCACTGCAGCAAAACACTATTGTACCAACGCTGTTCTAATAATATATAGACAATGGGTCGTGCTCATATTATTTGTTATATTTTTATTATTCATTATTTTCACTTGACTCTCATAAATAATTTTGTTCGAAGAACATTTTATGCAGTTGTACTTCGCAGCACTTCACTTGCAATTTGCAATTTCTAGTTTTTAAATTATTTTAACACCTGTACGGTTTCTACATTAACATACTGTAAAATAAATATTTGCATATATACACATTGATACACGGTATGAGTAAGCTTAGGGTCATGGTTTACTGTAATTTATTTTGCTTCGTTCAAAGCCTGTGTTCGTTTCAACGTTTGGTGCTTTATCAGCAAGCACGAAAAAAAATGTAATTTAATATGTCATAGCATTTGGAAACGTTGGTAGCTTTGTCGTTAGGTTATGTCAGAAATAAAGTAACGGTAGCACAGCGTTACAGCAGCGTTTGCAGCGTTATTTAGTCGGATGAATTTGTTTCTGCAAAAAATAAACACTTTGAATACCAAACGGCAAAGCTATTATGACGTTATAATAACGTTAATAACGTTATGTTGATAGCTGCGATATAATTGAAGAATTACTGTATTCATTATTATAGCATACAGTAGGTTTTAAATATAAATATATAAATGTGTAATTCCTGTAAATACACAGAAATTGTTATGAAAAAAAAAGCGCAATCGTCATATGAAAGCATTGTTCTTTCCACCATAATGAGTGGATAGTCTATAAAGTATCAGACGTATAAAGCGTCACTTCGCTTTGTAAACGCATTGTTTAAGGAAAACCAAATATATATGCTTTGCCAAAACAAAACAAAAACAGTGGTGGTGCAAGGATTTGCCCGAGAGACGGCGAAGACCCCGCAAAATATGACAGTTTAGGGGTTTTAAAGGCTTATCTATCCATTTTGGGTCTCAGTAATATGTAAAAAGTAAATATACATTCTTTTCTCCCCGACGATTTATAACACCTACAGGGGGGGGGGTGGCGGGGTGGCGGGTAGGAAGGGGCTTTAAGGAGCTCTCCACGACGGGGGCCCTGCCTTAACCCCGCTGGACCATTATATTTTTCTTTGCTTCTCATGGCTTAAGTCTCGAGTTTGATAACATTAACTTCAAGAAGTTCATACGTATTTGTATCTGGATTATTGCTGTATTCATTATTAGCACACTGTAATATACTAGCAGTACCGGTAATAAATATGTAATTGTTGTATTTACCAATTTTTTTTAGCGCCAACTTTTTATAGACGCACTTTTCTGAGATGTCGATCATAAATAAGTTACTTGTCAAAATACTATCTGGCATATACATAAAGCGTCACATGATTTTTTTAAATGCGTTGTTAACGCATTGTTTAATGTTAGTCAAATTATCACTTGACTTCCAAAATCGCCGACGTAACCTTAATCAACTACACCTTCTCGAGGCGAGCAAGTGCAACATTCACATATGGCAGCAATAAATGGGATGCGGTAAATGCTTCCTCGATAGTCATTTGGTTCCTGTCTAACGCGTCTCTCATCATCGATGACGCAAACTGTATTGCGCGAAACACTTCTTGGAAGTATAGTGATAGGCAACTGGTTTTCACCCTCCCGTATCGGACCATCACCCTTCCCTATCGGTGTCAAATGCTGGCTATTTATATTATTGTTGTCCAAATCATTCTTTTTCGTTTCATTGTCGTCGTTTTTAGTGTCCTTTTCACTTGTTTCCATTTTAAATCCTTTGAATAATATACGAAAAGATTTTCAGGGTTTGATTTTAGTTGCTTTGTCTGTATCTATGGCGTTATTTTCTATCACAATCGGATTGGTTGTAATAATTGTCACCATTATTAGTTCTGTCATCTTGACTCTATTGTGGAAAAGAGAACAGACATTTAAATAGCAACCGTTAAAAGTTTCACCGTAAACCAAAAATCAACCCCTGTTTGTTGTAGGAAAGAACTCATATGGAACATTTAACATGATATTCCTTCATATATATA